TTTAGACAGCTGCATTAGCTTGCTGGTGCTGCTTCTCACCTCTGCCTCCCGCCCCCTACACACATACACTAAGTGGCTTAAAAAACAAGCATTTATTTCTCACAGTTCTGGAGACTGGGAAGTCCGGCCTCAAGGTGCCAGCAGGGTTGGCTTCTGGTGAGGTCTCCTCTCTCCTTGGATTGCAGACAGCAGCCTTCTGTTTGTGTCCTCATGTGGCCTTTTCTCTGTGGATGCACTAACCTGGTGTCTCTCCTTACAAGGACACCAGGCATGCCAAACTAGTAATGACCTTATTTAACCTTATACCTCTTTAAAAGTGCTATCTCCAAACATACTCCCATTGGGAGCTGGGGCTTCAACATGAATTTTGGAGAGACAAAATTCAGGCCACAATAGCAGCTCTCCTCTGTCTTGGTTTTGGAAAGTCAGCAGAAGCCGCAGTGAGAACATTGCTGTGGTACTGGGTTAATTTGTAGGCTTTTTATCATCCTGCGTCTTCAATGGATGACACATTCTCACTTTCTTGTTTTCTCTTCTCTACCCTTTGCACTGCTTGTATGTCTACAGTGCAGCGGCTTTCAATCTTCTTTTGACCATGACCACCTACAGACAGAAATATATTCACGTGTGTGTGAATAACTTGAACGTATTTTACAAATCAGTAGCTCTCCTTAGGAGTTTGCATGTATTCTGTTTTGTAGTATTATGATTTTTTTTTTTTTTTTGAAGAAAGGTATTTTGAGATGTACTACTTTATGTCATTTGAAAACCGCTGCTGTAGTGTAGTTTCAGAACTGTGGTATGTGACATCTATTGAAGGACTTTCCCTTTTAATCTTTTGCGGTCACGGATGTGTGGTCGGCTTGCATAGATTTGTGGAATTCGTGGAACCCATCGTAAGACTTTCCTGTAGAGGAAATTATAGTCTGGAAAATTTCCCTGCCATTTGGCAACATCTGTAGGAAATGGAAGCCAGTAGGGTGGAAAAGTTTTATCATATTGATTGTCTTTGCTGGGAGAAGCATACAATTATGTCTTATATTCAGGAGCAGGGTAGATTGGAACAAAACCTTACTATGACTCAGTGATAGATTTTTTTTATGTGTGGTTTATTTTCTCTTTGAAGGTGTGGGTTGGTTTTTGTTTTAGAATTATCTTTCTCTATGATAAGCTCCTTCCCAGTAGGTAGAATGAATTTTTTAAAGAATGAAAGTCTAGTTTTTTGATGACGTTGTCCCAAATCTTAATTCCAAAGGGATATATTATGTTGGGGCTTGATGATAATTTATTCATGTTATCTAAAGTTATCAGTTGAGGAAGACGCATGCGGTTAGCTGGGTTAGCTGTTACCGGTTAATGGTGTTAGCCTCTGTGAGCTTAATAGCAGGATAAATGATAAACTGTATCAGGTCGCCTGAAAGGATGCATTTAGGAGGATGGGAGTGGAGGGGAGAGAGCTTGCTGTAAGTGGAAGCACAGAGTATCTCTTTTAATGCCCAGCCATAGCAAGAACTGGGTCTGAGGGTGATGTAAATGATACTTAAAAATTCAAAATTCAAATATGGCCGGGCGCGGTGGCTCACGCCTGTAATCCCAGCACTTTGGGAGGCTGAGGCAGGCAAATCACAAGGTCAGGAGTTTGAGACCATCCTGGCTAACACGGTGAAACCCTGTCTCTACTAAAAATACAAAAATTAGCGGGCGTGGTGGCAGGCACCTGTAGTCCCAGCTGCTTGGGAGACTGAGGCAAGAGAATGGCGTGAACCTGGGAGGTGGAGCTTGCAGTGAGCCGAGATTGCGCCACTGCACTCCAGCCTGGGCGACAGAATGAGACTCTATCTCAAAAAAAAAAAAAAAAAATTCAAATGTAGCAGGGCCAGGCGTGGTGGCTCACGCCTGTAATCCCAGCACTTTGTGGGGCCAAGGCAGACAAATCACGAGGTCAGGAGTTCAAGACCAGCCTGACCAACATGGTGAAACCCTAGCTCTACTAAAAATACAAAAATTAGCCAGGCGAGGTGGTGTGCGCCTGTGGTCCCAGGTATTTGGGAGGCTGAGGTGGGAGAATCTCTTGAACCCAGGAGGCAGAGTTACAGTGAGCCGAGATTGCACCACTGTACTGCAGCCTGGGCCACAGAGAGAGACTCTATCTCAAAAAAAAAAAAAAAAAAAAAAAAAATCAAATATAGCTTTTTATAGAAGGACCCCAGAGTACTTCGAGGTTGTAGAAAGTCATTTCATGCCCTGGTTTGCCCTTCATTTGATATCATTTTGGACAAATACTTGAGCCTCCATTTCCTCACTGAGTCTTCATCACACATCAGTGAGATAGTATCTGGAACAGACCAGCACCACAAAGGTGAGTCTTCTCCCTGCTTTAGTTCATCTTTGTTCCTGCAACTCTTGGTTCTCTCTTCTTCTGGATCAGTGAGAGGGTCCATGAAAACAAATAGCAAAAAATCGAGGTCCCATAAAGTGCTCCCTTTTCCGCTTATTCTTCACTTGTTTTTTTTTTTTTTTTTTTTCTTCAGTATTCTGAGTAATGGGTTTTATTGTAATGGATAATAAAGGATAAAGACTTAGAAAGAAAAGGTCTTAAAGTGCCAAGGAAAAGCAGAGCCCTGGGCTACCCCAGGTGCTTGTGCAAGATTATCAGCTTGGGTTGAACCCAACTTAGTGATGCGATAGAGAAGACACCATTGTTGACCCACTGGATTTAGAGAAGGGTGTTCTTGTGGCTGACACCTACACACCTGCCACCTGGGGACACTGAACAGCGCAGGGAGACTTAAGCCAGCGGCAGGTAAACCAGATGTACCCCTAAGTTGGGTCAGCGTGGCGTGTGTTATGAGGAGCCAAGCAGACGCCCTGGGCCTCAGTGCAGGTGGGGAAAGGTCAGAAGCTTCAAGAGTCATGCTGGGGAGCCTGGAGTAGCTGGGTTTGATTTTGTTTTAAAACAAGCTTTCCCAATTGTAAGAGGGATGGGGAGCCTGAAGGGCCAGGGGTTTCATGATACCACGGGAACCCTCCCAGACGGCAGGAAGAGGAAAGCAAGAGGACCGGGACCCTCACCTTAGAGGAAGCTTCTGCTGCACCTGAGTGGGCTGCTCCTTGGGCTTCTGTGATCCTTGGAGAGCAGGACACAGGAGGTGGGACCGAGGGGCAGTAGGGTAGGGTCACTGGCCAAGGGCTCTTGGTGCAGGGACAGGGGAGTCATGGCCTGTGAATAGAGACCTCGGGCAGAGAGAAGCCTGGGCCCTCCCAGCTCTAATGGGAACACTGGCTTTAGTGATGACTGAGGGATACTGCTTTGGCCAATGCCTTGCCCCAAAATGGGGAAAATTCAAAGTAAGCACTATTGTTTTAAACTTTCGTTATTCCTTATGAACTATTCTATTAGATACTTCTTTTTATTCCTTCCCTAAGTGTCTGCTCAGAACAACAGTCCTCCTACAGATAGATGTTTTTCATTCTCATGGACCCCAATGCAGCCACAAGTCCAGAGCCAGTCCCCTGGCACCTTCCTGTGTGGGGTGTTTATATTTACATTCCAGGGAGAGGAAGGCTGCACATAACATGCGGAGAGAAAGATGACTGAGCAAAATGCATGCCTGGCCTTTTTTTTTTTTTTTTGAGACAGAGTCTCACTCTGTCACCCAGGCTGGATTGCAATGGCGTGGTCTCGGCTCATTGCAGCCTCCTCCTCCCAGGTTCGAGTGATTCTCCTGACCCAGCCTCCCAAGTAACTGGGGTTAGGGGGGCCTACCACCACGACTGGCTAATTTTTGTATTTTTAGTAGAGATGGGGTTTTACCATGTTGGCCAGGCTGGTCTCAAACTCCTGTCCTCAAGTGATCCACTCACCTCGGCCTCCCAAAGTGCTGGAATTACAGGCATGAGCCACTGTGTCCGGTCCATATCTGGCTTTTGGGTAAGTGGTGGGTGGCTCTGGGCACCATATCCCTCTCACACTGGCTAGATGATTCAGCTCTGTTGTTTGTCTCATTTCTTTGAGGTTGGAATATCTCCTGCTTCCCATTTTGGAAACCTGCCTACACTAGAAACACCTGATGCCCACATGTTTTTGTTGTCCAGGACCGTGTGTGCTTCTAGTCGGTGGACCTTGTTGAGCATCTGCTGTGTGCCAGGCCCTCCATGAGGAGCTGGGAACAGTCCCTGTGTCAAAGTGCCCGTTGTCTAGTAGAGATGATGAGAATAGAGAGGAAATACAGACAACTAAAATGACTAAGCTTTTTGCTTAATGCTTTAATAACGTGATGATTAAAAAACATTGTCATCGAAAGAAATGAATTTACGCCTATGATTTAATGCCTTTGTGTTTGTTTTAACATGTACTGTCAGACCTCTTTTTATGTATGTTTTTAATGGCCACCGCTGTAAATGCTGTGAAGTACACATTTGTAAGCTGTAAATTTCCTAGGCCCTTGCTTGTTGTGTTGCAGCAATGTTGGGTGCAAGTGGCAGCCCCTGGGGCCTTCAGCAGAGCCCTGGCAAGAGGCTCTTTCCTCCATGGACTTGGGCTTCGGTACCTCTTGAAGGGACTCTTCTTTTCATGGGAGAACTTTGCAAGGCCGCTCAGGATTGGTCTGCTGTTCTGGGCTTGTTCCATGCTGGAGTAGCTGAACAATTAGAAATGTTTCTGTCGTTTGAGTGGAGATGGTCGGAGTTCTGTGCGTTAGTAGGGTGGGTAGGATGGTCACAGAACCGTCCCAGGGGTGTAACTCACTTGGCCACCTGGCCCACCCGTGTGGCAGTGGGAGTGATGCTTGTGCATCCCACTGCTGCGGGGAGGGCCACCACAGCCCCAATGGGGGTGCCTTCCATTTCATCTGGCAAACTGTGGCCCAGCGTATGAGAGCCCAGATGTTATTTAATAACATCAACACGGGGATACACAATATTTAGAAAATGAGTTCATGTTCTAGGAATTACTTCCATTGCATTTTTTAAGCTCTGTATCTTTTTCTGTTCGAATCCAGGTGCAACATTAGAGGAAATCAACCAGCACTGGGACTGGCTGGAACAAAATCTCCTTCACACCTTGTCCGTCTTTGATAATAAAGATGACATTGCCAGTTTTGTCAAAGGGAAGGTAAAGGTAGGTCCCTTGAGTTTGACGTTTCTCCCCATCTTTCCATATTTTTTCCTTAAAGACATTTCGAACACTGTGGCATACTAACAGTGTTTTCTGCTAACTGAACTTTTTGGCTTGATACGTAAAGCCAGATAAGTTTCATTTATCACCTGTCTTAACTTTGTAGTCAGTCTAGCAAAATACACCTGACATGTTAAAAAAGAGACTTGGCCAGGCGCTGTGGCTCACTCCTGTAATCCCAGCACTTTGGGAGGCCAAGGCGGGTGGATCACGAGGTCAGGAGATCGAGACCATCCTGGCTAACACTGTGAAACCCCATCTCTACTAAAAAATCCAAAAAAATTAGTTGGGCGTGGTGGTGGGCGCCTGTAGTCCCAGCTACTCGGGAGGCTGAGGCAAGAGAATGGCGTGAACCTGGGAGGCGGAGCTTGCAGTGAGCCAAGATTGTGCCACTGCACTGCAGCCTGGGGGACAGAGCGAGACTCCGTCTCACAAAAAAAAAAAAAAGACTATTCTCAGGCTTAGTTTTTGTTATCCTTTACAGGAGTGAAGGCCCTTTTTTATCGCCGGAAAAAAAAATAATGTTAAGATTTATGTTTTTGCAGAGCAACACATTATTTGACTTCTTAAATCACCTTTTTTTTTTTTTTTTTTTTTTGCAGTTGTGACATCTTGTCACACTATTCTGTTGGATCTACCACTTTCCTCCTGCTAGAAGTGGATGTTTATTCTTAAAATATGTAAATTAAATGTAATGAAAGCCAATTAAGTTTTGAGTTGGCAAGAGAGGAGTATTTTGGGAGGTATCTGTGATACTTCCTGTGAGTTACAGTCTTATATAACTGGCGTCCCTGCAATAACATGATGGGTCATCAGTGCTTTCAAAGCCCCATTGGCCTGGGAGAGATAGTTTCTCATTCTAAATTTAACTCTCTCATTAAATACTTTAACACATTAGCGTGTGATACACTTTTCCTTCCTTAGGGTAAAACCTCCTAGCCCTTCGATTTTGTTTTCTGCAAAAAGCTTGGCTTTCTAATACCTCAAGTGCCATGGCTTTTCGTAAAGGGTGTCAAAGCAGATTTTTGATTTTGGAGGAACAAAATCTTTTCCTTTGGGGACTGGGGGATACTTATGGGATCTGGTGAAAGGGAGGGCATCCCAAGTCCAGCCAGCTTGACGATGTCTTCTTGGAGTTATACCTGGCCAGTGGGGTCAGCGGGTGGACTGGGCCATGGTGGGCTTGGGTTGGCCCTCATCCTGGCCCAGCCAACTGTGGCTCACTTCCCTGGGTCGTATCACACTTGGGTAGCTACAGAAAGGCCCCATTCAGAGCTATTTTTCACACTTACCCCCACCTGTCTTGGTCTAATGCAAGTTGTAGTGGTTCTTTGATTTAGGTATTGCTCTTCTTAATTTGGAGGAAGAAAATGAACTTTTGCTATAGTGATTTTAAAACAGTTTCTGTAGAATAAGAAAACTTGTCCTTGACTCTCCTAGATATCATGGCTGGGGTCCTGGAAATTACACTGACAAAAGATGAACAAGAGAAAAACAGAGTTTATTTTTATTGGTTGTTTTTTGAGACAGGGTCTTGCTCTGTCACTCAGGCTGGAGTGCAGTGGTGCAATCATGGCTCACATCAGCCTTGACCTCCCAGGCTCAAGTGATCCTCCTGCCTCAGCCTCCCATGTAGCTGGGGCTGCAAGCACACACCACCACACCTGGCTAATGTTTTTATTTTTTGTAGAGACGAGGTCTCATTATGTTGCCCAAGCTGGTATCGAGCTCCTGGGCTCAAGCAATCCTCCTGCCTTGGCTCCCCAAAGTGCTGGGATTACAGATGTGAGCCACCACGCCCAGCCAAACAGACTTTATTTGAACACAGAAGCATGCATATGTGTAACAGAAGCTCAGTGATGAGTAACTCACAGGGGTGGTTAGCACTTGGGCTCACATAGCATCTCAGGGAAGAAGAGTGCATTTGTAGAAAGGCGACAAGACTAGAAAAGAGGCCTTTAGGCTTTTGGGGCAGCGTACTGTGTGGGAAACGCGCGGAAGCTAAGGGTTAGTTGAGTGAGGTTACATAGATTCCTCTCAGGGCTATTTCTGGACTTGGGAGGGTCGAGAGCTGTTTCTGGTGACTGAGAGTCAAAGTCCTCTTTCTGGTACAGGAGCAGGACACACCTTGACTAATGGACCTTTACAAACAGGTCCTGTTTTGAGGCAGATGTCGGGGGGTGAAGACAGCCTTTTTGGTGTTTGCTGTTTCTCAGTTTTCTTCAGCTCAAAATAATCCTTATGCCAAAGTGGCATATTTTGGGGTGATATATTCTGGTCCCTGACACTTTGAAGCTAAAATGCTTTGAAAAGTCAGTCCTGAGGAGGCAGGGCTGGGAAGTGAGGGGCCTGCCCGGCCTGAGCCTGGGAGCACAGCGTGACATTTGATCTCCCTTTCCTCTGGCCAAATCCTAAGGATCTGGGAATGGAGGCCTACTCATATCCCGAACCTTTGATGACTCTAGAAAACTTTGAAAAATCCCTGTTTCAAGCTGTGCCTGTAACCAGAAGCCATACTTCAAGGAAGGCAAGGGTCAGCATGGCCACCCTCACGCCTGCACCGGGAGCCCCTAGGTCCCACCCTGCAGCTGTGCCTGCTGCCTGTCTGCTCCGGAGCCTTCATAAAGACCCCTCCACGCCCACTTCCAGGGCAAGGGGAGAGCTCAGCACTCATTATATATTAGATATGCTTTTCAAAAATACTCATCTTTCTTAACTAGTACTTCATTCATGTATAATGTCTTGTTAAATAAAATGTGGGAAATAGAGAAAAACATAATGAAGAAAATGAAAATCACTTAAAATTTCATCAGCCTCCAGATTTCTTTTAAAAATAATTTTAGGCCAGGCGTGGTGGCTCACGCCTGTAATCCCAGCACTTTGGGAGGCTGAGACGGGCGGATCAACAAGGTCAGGAGATCAAGACCATCCGGGCTAATACGGTGAAACCCTCTCTCTACTCAAAATACAAAACCATTAGCCGGACATGCTGACGAGCACCTGTAGTCCCAGCTACGCGGGAGGCTGAGGCAGGAGAATGGCATGAATCCAGGAGGCGGAGCTGCAGTGAGCCAAGATCGCACCACTGCACTCCAGCCTGGGCGACAGAGCGAGACTGCGTCTCAAAATAAATAAATAAATAAAAATAAATAGTAGTTTTAAATTACATTGTTATGTTAACGTCAACGCTCAGGTTTCAGTTTGAAAATAGCTTATATAATAGTACAGGGTTTGACAAAAATACCCAAAAAGTAGTCTTGTCTTGAGGGACATCGCTTTTCATGAGACATACCTACCTACCTTTAAAAAAAAAAAAAAAAAAAAAATGGGGGGGAATGTTAATAAAGATAAATGATAGAAGTGTGTGTGTGTGTGTGTGTATATATGTATTTTTAGAGATGGGGTCTTGCTGTGTTGCCCAGGCTGGAGTGCAGTGGCTGCTCACAGGTGCCGCCATAGTGCGCTGTAGCCTCAAACTTTTGGGCTTACATGATTCTCCTGCCTCAGCCTCCTGAGTAGCTGGAATTTGAATCCTAAATGTGTTTTTACAATCAGGTAGCATATGTGAGGCTTGGGGCCCGCCCAGGAGTTCCTAAACAGCTGCTCATGTGAAGGTAACAAGAAGATATTCTCAGGGAAGGATTTTGCAGCGAGCTCCCAGGGATGAGAAATCAGATTTCTGATGGTAGCAATGAGTTGTCAATTAGGAACAAATAGGCCACAAGCGTGAATTCTAGGCCCTTCTACCACCACCCCAGATTATGAAGGACACTAATTGTTACTCATTTTTTGGCAAAAAAATTGTAGATGTAGATGCCTTGTTTTCCCATAAACCCAAGTGCTTTGGAGGTTATTTATGACCTTGGGAACCTTGGCCAATATCCATTTAAGACTGCAGAGTGAGCCACACGGTCAGGCCGGTAGTAGCCTTAAATACCAACATTTTTGAACCTAATGAGGAAGATCTTCATGAGTTTTTCTCAAAAGACTAACTTTTTTTTGTTTTGTTTTGGTTTTTTGAGGCAAGGTCTCACTCTGTCATCCAGGTTGGAGTGCAGTGGCACAATCTTGGCTCACTACAACCTCTGCCTCCGGGGTTCAAGCGATTCTTGTGCCTCAGCCTCCCATGTAGCTGGGATTACAGTTGCGCATCACCGCACCTGGCTAATTTTTGTGTTTTTAGTAGAGATGGGGTTTCACCATGTTGACCAAGCTGGTCTCGAACTCCTGGCCTAAAGTCATCTGCTCACCTCAGTTCCCCAAAGTGCTGGGATTACAAGTGTGAACCACCGCACCTGCATGCTCATAGGACTAACTTTTATCTCAAAGTTGGGTAGTTCTTTGGGATTGATGCCGAGTTCACGGGCCTGAGGCAGTCCTTTTATCCTCATATGCCTGTAGGGAAAATTTAGAAAATTTTCCTAGGGCCGTTAACAGGAAGAGTCGGACAGATTTAAATAAATGGTGGAGATGACACCGGTGACACTTGATTACTTATATATGCTACTACTAGCAGGTGATTAGATTACATATTCACTTTTTCTACTGCCTTAAGAAACATTCTGTATAGTTCACTTTATATAGCCACTAAGGGGTTTTTACTTCTGTAAGTTTTTTAAAAAACATAGTGTTATCACTGATGGCTTAATGTTTCTCAAAGTGTAGAACATATTCCTGCTTTTTTTTTTTTTTTTTTTTTTTTTTAAGGCAGAGTCTCACTCTGTTGCCCAGGCTGGAGTGCAGTGGTACCATCTCAGTTCACTACAAGCTCTGCCTCCTGGGTTCACGCCGTTCTCCTGCCTCAGCCTCCCGAGTAGCTGGGACTACAGGTGCCCACCACTGCGCCCGGCTAATTTTTTTGTATGTTTAGTAGAGACGGGGTTTCACCGTATTTGCCAGGATGGTCTTGATCTCCTGACCTCGTGATCCGCCCGCCTCGGCCTCCCAAAGTGCAGGGATTACAGGCGTGAGCCACTGCGCCTGGCCATATTCCTGCTTTTTAACAAAGCAGGCCATTAAAAAAA